GTGTGTGTGTGTGTGTGTGTGTGTGTGTTCCATTATGATTATTTTCCGGTAGTCTCGTTTTTCTACTACGGTTGCTACTGTAGTTACTACTACTATAGCTACATTGTCGTCTTCTCATCAAGAACGACAACCTTCAAGCCACATGTGCCTATTTTCCCCTCTCACTCTATCCATCTTGTCGTCGACTGCTCAACCCGAGCAAGCGCGAATGAACTGATTTCTTCTTGTTCTTCTTCGAGTTTTCTTTTTTTTTTTCTATTTCTCATATTTTTTTCTTTTGGTCGTTTTTGCTGTTCCATATACTCGTCATCGACTAGAGTCGAGTGGTGTTAGTGATTCTTGACGTTTAACGATAATTTTGATTGTTGAACATGTATTATGACGTCATACATTGACATTATCAAGTCAAATATAATCTATATATATATATACAAAAAAATTAATCGTAATTTGCATCATGTATAACGATCAAAATTAGTATGTTCAAATAATATAAAAAAAACAAATGGATGAATGATTACATACTGTAATAGTAACAGTAGTGTTACCATCTGTTTACCATCGAACAAGAAAATCAATGACGACATGAGACACTTGAGTCCTTTTCTTTCTTTTTTACTCTATTGTCGCAGATGATTTTTCTTTGCAAACAAGAACTTATTAAAGTATTAATACTCAAAATTAGACAAAAATATCTCTGCTATTTACATAGATACTTTGAGATATATGATGTCTTGACTAATGTTCTAATTATATAATGAGAATACTTGCAATTTCTAACGCTCTAGAGACAGCAATAGCTGTAATGATAGCAAAATGATAACAACAAACAATATGCCATGCAAGAACAATAGCAATATCATAATTTTTGCAAACAAGTGGACGAATGACTGTATGTTCGTAACCGTATGTCATTATATGTTCTAGTCTCATTTCTCTTGTTATGCTTCTATGACATTTTCGATGAATGAATGGATGAATGCTAGAATGAATAGTCGTATACATACGTACATATAAATAATAATTCAATCTATATCTTAGTCAAGGTCTGACTTTTGCCCCTGGTTGTTGTTTTGATTTTTTCTTTTTTTTTTTATCTTTTGCTTTCGTTGTGTCTAATTCGATCGCTGGTTTGTGATGTGTACACATCACAATTTATCAATCAATCAATCATAATCACGCAATTTAGCCGTTAGCATTGTCAACATTTTGTTCACAATGTAACTTCTCGTTATATTTCATCTAATCGTTTGCATACTCACGCACATACACACACACATACACATATATATATATATATATATAGTTAGTGAAAAGCAATAAAGAAAACAAATGGAACATAGAATGAACAGTCAATCATTCGATTAATCATTGTGTTCTTTTTTTTTCACTCTTTGCTCTTCTGTTTTTCTCCTTGTTACTTGTCGTCGTCAGTAATATGAGATAGCAATGAAAACGGTCGCGAACGGCCAACTATACTTATGGGTCTCGAGAGAATTTTTACTGGGAATTTGTGCTCTCTATTTGTTGTATGACAAGGATGACATTGAAGAGAGAGAGTGAGCAACTACAAGTGACATCGTTTAGTCAGATGCGGATCATTATTAATTTGAAACAAAATATAACTACAAGAAAACTAAATATTCTCAGCTAATTCTTAGACATGCTACCTTTCGTGATAGAAATATCTATGACGTCGATAATGTTCTTGATTATTTTAATATAAAATTAAATAAATAGGTTAGTTTGAAACGAACAGGAAACAAATGATTAAATATCAGGTGTTAAAAACATTTTCAAAAAGAAAAATTGATGATATGTGCTTAGTCAATATAAATACTTACTTGTTATTTATTTTATTTTAGTTTTTCTTCTTTTTTTTTTCTTGTTTCAATAAACATCCTACTTACTTACGTCAATGCCATTTCTTATCGTACTCGTTCACTCTTTTTCTTTTATTACATTATTGAGATATTTTTTTTTTTTAGATAGATAGTTGAAAGAGAAGAAAAAAAAAGAAAGAAGCGATTAGGATGAATATAAAACGTGCATTCACATTCCCCGATCTAAATCGAGCCTAATTTATTGAGAAAGGATTAGACGAAGCGTACTTAATACAAGTGAGATGCCAATCACACTCAAACAAGTGTTAATATTGAAAATTGAGAATGTGAATATAAGGAGAAAAAAAGAAAAGAGTTAATAATATCCAAACGGAAATATAAGAATAGTTATGTTTGATTAAACTGTATGCTAGTGACCTCTATGAAACAATTCGATGACTTTCATATGTCGTTAACAGCAATGTTTTTATATACATTGATATTAGCGAAACAAAAATTTCTATGGACGTAGTTATTTATTTATTTTTTCTAAGAGTATGTTTTTATAGTTCTTAGCAATTCTTTGATTATATTTTTTTTTAATGTCACAAAATTCAGGACCGTTTCTTGTTTCTTCACATGGACCTCCAGGATTTCATCCACGATTACAATCATCATCATCATCGTCACCAACATTAAAACGAACAATTAATGGTCCATTATCTGTTAGTAATTCACCAAATACATCTATTAATACAAATATGAACGTTTCAACATCACCATCATTAATGCGATCAAGTAATTCAATGGGAACTTTGAAATCAACAAATGTTAGTATAAATCCAATGGATAAATCAAATACAATGCCTTATTCATCTCGTTATACACGTAAAGCTTGGCCTATGTCACGTAGTATTCATGGTATATATATATATATATATATATATAAATTTACATATCTTAAACAATGAAAAATTTTTAAATTCTAGATAAAAATATTCGCGGATATGATGAACATGAACTTCCATATAATCGTTCAAGTCATAGTGTTCCATCTTCTGATAATATTAATAATTCATCATTTACAATTGAACCATCAATAGATGATGATGAAGCTGATGATATAATGTTTTCATCACGTCATATGGCTGCTGCACGTTTTCAACGTAATCAACGTTTATTATATGAAATATTTAATGAAATATGTATACCAGATTTACGTTCAAATATAAATATTGATCGTATATTAACATTACGTCGACAAGTTGATGCATTGAAAACACATCGTGAAACATTTGAAAAAGATTTAAATGAATTAGAAGAAAAACATGCAGAAAAAAAACGAAAATTTTTCGACTCAAATGAAAAATTTTATCATGAATATAATCAAACATTATCAACAAATTTAACTCAAGAAAAAATTAATGAAATTTTACAAAAATGTGAAACAATAGAAAAATTACAAAAAGAAAAACAATTACTTTTACAACAACAGCAACAACAACAAGTTGTTGCTACACCACCACCACCACCACTACCATTACCCGCAACAACAGTATCTCAACCAATAGTACCTTCAGTAACGAAAACTGAACCTGCACCTATTGTTGAAATTCCACAGCAACAAACACCATTACCTCCTGTTCAAGCTCAATTACCACCTTCCCAACCTGTTCCACCATTGTTACCATCTACTCAACCTATACCATCATCATTACCAACTCTTCAATCTATACCAAATCAATTACCGTCATCTCAACCTTTACCTAGTCAATTACCATCATCACAACCTATTCAATCTCAAATGCCACCTTCTCAACCTCAATTACCACCACCACCACCACCACCCCCACCACATCCTGTAATGCCACCAATTCAACCACCAACAACTACACCTCAAGGTTATCCAATGATGCATCCAGCAAGTGGTTATCCACCAGTTCCTGGTTATGTTCATTCTCAACAGTCTCAATATCGACCAGCAATGACTCAACGATCAGCACAATATCCATCTAATGTTCAATGGCAACAACAACAACAATGGCAAACAAATGCATACGGTAATAATTAAACTAAATTTTTTATTTCCCAGGATAAAACATACAAAGTTTATATACGATGCTATGTAAATCATCGTATCTTTGCATTTACAAGCTTGATTCTCTTGACTCATGTTGTGTATTTCAGTCAACTATTATTTTATTTTAAATAGATTCTCGTTATTACAATCCATATCCACCTAATGTTCAATGGCAACAACAACAACAACAACAACAACAACAATGGCCACCTCAACAACAGCCATCACAAATGCGTATTCCTCCTCATCAACAACAACAACCCCCAATGTATGCTAATGGTGTTCATTATGGATATGGTAGTACAAATGCCGCATGGAATCCTAATACACATCCACCACAACAATATGGTTATTCACAAAATCCATCTTATGATCCTACACTTGTATCAGTATCACAACAGCAACAATATTATCCACCACCACCACAGATGCATAATCCTCCACAAGGTTATGATTATGGTCCACCACCTCCTCAATAATTATCAGAAATAAACTGAGAATAATTTTGTTTTATTCGTTTTTTTTAATATATATGTACAACTTTTTTTGTTTGTATATGTGTCCAAAATAATAAAAGAAAAAACAATCTTTTTAGATATAATTTAATATTGATTACATACATACACATGGCGTCAATTCGACCTGGTCTTGCTTTAGTACCAAAAGTAATTGGTCGCCGACAATTTAGTTTAAGTCAACGTATGCGTTTACAAGATAATTTTGATACAGAATGTGTACCTGGTTCAAGTGTTCCATTTAATAGTAAAAGATTTCTTTTTTTTTTAATTAGAAGAAAACAAATTTTTCCTTTTTGTTTTCTAGCAAATACCAAATGGGGTTTAGCTATAACAATGGTTCTCTATCTATCATCGGCTGTTGCTGTTCCATTCTTTGGTATGCGTTGGCAATTACTTAAAAAACGTGCTGGTTAAACAAAAAGACATTTCAATCATCCTACCTCTTTTCCTGTAGACAAAAACTACAACATAACCCAAACATTCTTCCTAGTTAGAATAATAAAAGATATTCTTTGCATATCCTTTCCATAAATAGAAATGTGTTTGTTTGTTTGGTTTTTTCATTTGATTATATTTCAGATGTCATCATCAGGTTATTATTTTGTTATTGTTGGTCATGCTGATCAAGTTGTCTATGAAATTGAATTAGGTGGATCTAATGGACAAACAACAGATAATCGTCATTTAAATCAATTTATAGCACATGCTGCACTTGATCTTGTTGATGAAGCTATGTGGCGTAATACAACAACATATTTAAAACAAGTTGATAAATTTAATGAATGGAATGTTTCAGCATATGTTACAGCTGGTGGTCTTCGTTTTCTTTTTTTATATGAACATTTACCACGTTCGGGTGAAGATGGTTTAAAAAATTTTCTTACTGAAGTTTATGAAACATATGTAAAACTATTACTTAATCCATTTTATGTACCAGATAAACCAATACGATCAGCTGCATTTGATAAAAAAATTCAAACTATAGCTCGAAAATGGAATTTATAATAAGAAAATACCAAACTATTTATATATAATATGTGATTTTTTGCAATATAATTATTATTATTATTTTTTTGTTTTGTTTTTTTTCTTATGTAATGATTCTGTTTTTTTGTAGATTGTTAATAAAAACTTAATGAGCTATGCCAAAGCCATATTTCCTTATCATACAGGTGTTATTGGTGATCTTGATTTACAAGTAGATGATGTTATTGAGGTAAATCGAAATATAAAAACAATTCATATATTGACTATACTATATGACATGTTTTTTTTTATTATTCGATAAAACATCTGATGAGAAATTAGAATCAATGAAAAATTTTCTTGCAAATTTTTTTTAATTTTCTTTTAAGTTTCCTCAAGAAAAATCATCATTGAGATAAATGCATAGTCGAGGTCTGATCTTTCATACACGAAATGATTTTTTTATTAGGCACTTTCTTCTAAATGATTTGCGTTTTTTCTCTATTTATGCTTTGTTGATCATACATCTCATAATTTTCGAAGAAGCTGTACTTTTTATTTGAAAGAACATATGAAACTGTAGTATTCATTTTTGGCATTAGACTATATTATTATTATATATGAACGCACTTCTATAAATAGATAACTATTATTTCGAACTATTGAATTTGCTATCGTTTTTCTGTGCATAAAAGGTAAGAATTTAAACAAAAGAAGACACTGCAATATGACGTGTTCTTTCAAATAGAGAGAAAAAAGAATTAAATCTATAGAATGAAAGTTCATAGTAGAAATCGTCGGATCCGAGTCCGAAAATCTTGGACCTGATAGACTCTAACCCTCAGAGAATTTAAGATTACTAAGTAAGTTATTTTTTTACTTTTATGTGTTGAAGATCTTCTGAAAATTTTAGTATAGTCTCTTGACTACAACTCCAACATATCCTGAAAATACCTGACCCAAAATCGATTTTTGTGGATGCGTGGGAAAGTTAAAAATAATTGGTCAATAGTATTTTATAATTACCTTGTTTGTTTAGTATACAATAGCAAATAGAAACTGACTATGAAAGATATAGAAAATGAATCAATTATAATATATCAACAGAAGAGAAAGAAACAGTCAAGTTCATCAAACTGATTTTATTTTATCACATAAAAATACAACTTAGTATTATCTCATATCCATACAAATAGATTTTATGACAAAATTAATGGTACTTTTCAAATTTCTCGGTAAATTTGTACAAAACAATTTCAAATTATTGCATTAAGTCTTATAATCATAAATTAATAGGATTCTTTCTAACAAGGGAAGTTCACCAACTGTCCAATCACTTTTGAATCGAAATCATGTGCATTATGTAAATCTAAATGAACTATGAATACCCTGAACTCAGTGCATGCTCTTAACTTATTGCTACAGAAATACTTCACTTTTACGATATTTTTTTAATAAAACATCAAAACTACTATTTTGTATGAGTGATATAAAAAACACACTATTACCATAGTTGTATCTTAAGATACGAACAGTGACAAAATCTGAAACTTTTACAATAATAAAGGGGATCACAGCATTCATTGAAAAAAAAACACCATAAAAGTGCAGCAGCTCCATAGCAATAGGCTAAGGACACAAATTCTTTTCAAGGTATTCATAATTCATTTAGGTCCACATAATACACATGGTTTCGATTTATAAGCGATTGGATAGTTAGTGGACTTCTCTTGTAATTTCAATTTTCTGTTCAATGAATGTTTATATAAAAAACATTCTCTCGATATGCTTTGCAATTTTGTCACATGTATAAACATACTTTTTTTTTCAAAGCTACTTAGTAATTAAGATTACAAGCTTCTATATTTGCTAAACCTAAATGCTTATTAATTTCATAATTATAGACAAGATTTTCTTTACATGAAATTTATTCTTTTAGGTTTTAGAACAAGTTGATAAAAATTGGCTTCGTGGTAAAATCAATGATAGTATTGGTCTTGTACCATGTGAATTTGTTGAACGCCTTCCTATAAAACCTATTGATCATAATCAATCATCATGCATTGCACATACAGATTATCGTTCATCTCATGAAGGAGATTTACAATTTCATCGAGGTCAATTAAAAAAAAAATATCAAAAACGAAGTTTCGATATAGTTTATAATATGATTTTATTTTAGGTGATCGTATAATTGTTCATGAACATTTACCTAATGGATGGTTTCGTGGATCACTTCATTTTGATTTACCTGGTACAAGTTATAGACCAACTGGTATTTTTCCAAGTACATTTGTTACATTAGTCAAATCAAATACAAACAGTATCAATCAGAATGGTATAGTCTATTGAGAAAACAAAAAAAAAAACAAGTTAATATGCAAATTTTTTTTTTTGTTTATTTGTATTGTATAGAAACTCAAGTACCGTCTAGTCAAAATAACCTTTTATTATTTGATGAAAGTCCAATAAAATTTGTTCGAGTCATTTGTGATATAAAACCGAGTGGATCAAATGAATTGGGTTGTTTTGAAGATGAAATTCTCGCTGTTATTGAAGGTGATATTAATCAAAGTGAATGGTTAGTTGTTAAAAATGCATTTAATTCAATTGGACGTATAAAACGTATCTTTGTTGAACCAATTGATGATCAACAGAGTGATAATGAACAAAATAATCTTTTATTTGTGCCTAATATCAAAACAAATCAATATCAAAAATCAAATAGTAATAGTCTAGACACAATACAAGAACTTGTCGAAAAAGAATTTGATAAATTAATGAAAAAAGATGTTAAAACAGAACAAGGTGAGAGAGAGAGATTCTATTTATTTTTCAATAAGAATAATATAGATCTAAACTGAAATGAATAACTTTCATTTATCTGATGATGTTTTTTTTAAAGTTACTTAATGCTAATAATTCGCTTTTATTTTCATATTAAATGATTCCCTAAAGCTATTATTATTTCTTTTAAGAATATTGTTCGTATAATTTTATTTTAACTGTAGACATTCTTCTCTCTGTTATCGATTATTCGATTACCGTAAGCTGTAACATTTTTTTTTTATTATACAACAAATATGTTGTATATTTACCGTTCGCCCTCACAATGTATATGTATTTATACTAATCTAATATAACAATGATAATTATTCTTCTTTAAAACAATTTCATCGTTTTGTTTTACATACAATATAATACATAAGACGTGTAATCTAGATCGGACGTGCCATTCGCCTCATTGTGTCCAGTTTGACCTTCAAAATAGTGCAAACAAAAACAGATCAAACTATCACATATTATTAATCAGTTCGTCTCAATTTTTCATCTTCTTTTCGTTTCTAACATCGGTCACCCACTTCAATGTATGTGAGAATATGTGGTGATGGTTGGATGAGCTACTAGCTTAGTAGAATTGAACACATTGTCTTTTGCTTTAGTTTCTTTTTTCTTTTTTTTCTTTCTGTCTTATTCATTCGTTCACCTTTCGCCTTCTGACAACGACCGCATCACTTTATATGAACAATAAGAGACAGGACACAGCTTGTAATTAATGTTTTATTACAATAGGAATATATATGTATAAAAAAAAAAAAATTTGTCATTTTTGACAAACATTGATATATCGAAATAAAATATAGATTTAATAATGAATTTGGACATCCGTTCTTCTCAACTAAGTCTTCATTCATTATCTTATTATCCAACAATAATAAATACAACAACATCAACAAATAATAATTTTAATCAACATTCTTTATCATCATATTTTCGTCGAATAAAAAAAAATTCTAGAAAAAATTTTTGTTGCCATGGAACAAGATTATCATTATCTTGTTTTAAATGTTTTCGATATTGTATTCCAACAAAATATAAATGTGAGTTTTAAATCTGTTATTTTTTTTTTCTTGTTCTCTTTCTTATACGTAACGGAAGTCTTTAGC